TATATCTTTGTGTCAGCCTCTTCAAAAAGTCACTGTGACCTCTGGTGTTTCTTAAACAAAATTCTTGCCTTAAAATCTTCCTGTTCAAATGCGTTTTTTATTGTTTATTTTCTACTTTTCTTATTTTTATGTTCAGTCAGTGGTTTCATTTATTTATTTGTGAAGCATTGATTTTCAATTAGAAGTTAAGAGTTTATTCATTGAGAAATGTCAACAGGCGTGAAAAAAACAAAAAAACATCCAAAGTAAACAATCGTTAAAATAAATGGCCGCTGGGGATTAAAATTGAGCCAATTGGCAGATAGATAAGAAACGATAAGGAAAGGCAACCAATCAGAAAGTAGCTAATAAATATTCTTAAGAGGCACGCGTAAAACGTTGACAACATTTATGTCTGACTGACAGCTGAATCGGGTATGAAATACAGAAAAAAAAATGAAGAAATTAAAGAAAAAATGAAAGATCGATGGGGGAAGGACAGAGAGAAAGAGATATAATATTTAAAATGAGAAAGAACGAAAGGAAAACGAAAACGACAAAAAGGAGGTGGAAAGGAAAAGATAAAGAAAATAAGAGAGAAGGCAAAGAAAATTTTGAGAGGGCGAGAAATTAAAGAACAACTAAGATACAGAATACATATATGTCTTAAAGATAAATGTAAATAGAATTAATGATATTATATATGAAATATAAAAAACAACCAATGAAAAATGACTGAATGAATTTACTTTATATACAGTAAGAACTTCTTTAAATCCATTGATGCTCACTGTCCATTTTTGTGGAGGTGGATATTAATGATTTATAAGGAGAAACCTATAATTAATACTAAATATTTCTGAAAACCTATAATTAATATTGAATATTTTTAGAAACCGATAATTAATACTGGATAATTTTAGAAACCTATAATTAATATTGAATATTTTTAGAAACCCATAATTAATAGTGAATATTTTTAGAAACCTATAATTAATATTGAATATTTTTAGAAACCTATAATTAATACTGGATAATTTTAGAATCCTATAATTAATACTGGATATTTTTAGAAACCTATAATTGATACTAAAATTCATGCGGATATTTATAATTAATACCGGATGTTCCGGTTGGTATTGATCCAAAAGTATAACTTTTTCTTTTATGCTCCGTGACCCTTCAGGACGTAGGGAATCATGCCTCTCCATTTCCTCTTATGCCTTGTAGCTTTCAATAAGTTTGCTACTTTCTACAGGCCTTGTTCTGTCATCCATTTGCTTAATCCCGCTAGTTATGTCATGCGTTGCTTTCCCTTGTCTTTCTTTCTCTCTATTCGACCTGTGAGTATCAGATTCTCCAAGCCGTACTTTCTCATTACGTATCCGAGAAATTTCAGCTGATGTTACATATAAGCTTCCTCCAAAACTTCATCGTTGCTCACACGCTCGATCCATGATATCCTTAGCATTCTTCTGTAGAACCATACCTCCGTTGCCTCGAGTCTCTTCTTCATCTTTTAGGAGACCGTCCAACATTCGCTGCCATAAAAAGGACAGATATCACGTAGCAGCTCAGTACTCTTTCCTTTGTTACTAAGAAATCCATATTCGCATTGGAATAGCAAATTGTATTTTCCAGAAACTATTAAGAAAAAGTATTAAAAGAAAAAGAAATTCGTTACAAAGAAATGAGTGCTGAATTGCTGTGTCATATCCCGTTTTTAATATGACATTAAATGTTGGACATTTTATAAGAGGTAAAAAAGAATTTCGAAACAACAGATAGGTGTTTATAGAAACAGATACTGTGAACATACTGAACAGAATATGTGACTGACTTTTATGGAAAAAGAAACTGAACGACACTTACAGTTACAAGCAGAAATAGTCAAGTGAAACTTCTGAGATACATAATAGCTTAGCTTAGATATGGAGCAAAGCCGAAAGTTTGTGACATTCAGTGAGGATCGAGCTCACTATATTCAGTCATAACTGACAAGGTCATTAACCATTACTCAACGTCGATGTGCCTACTGTGACTCAAAATAAGGAAAGAGAGCGTGGAGAATTTGACATTCACGTGAAGCGATGAAGGCAAGAAAGAGAGAAAGATTAAGTAACTGGTTTTTCGAGATGCACCAGTTTAGACCTTCATATCTGGTACTCACCATGCCACGTACCCTGAGAGGATTCATGCTCAATTACTTCATATACAATTAGTTAGGAGGAAGCTTCTTCTTCAGAATTGTTGCACTGTGAAACAAACATCTCAGGGGACGTTCCCCGATCACTACAATCTTACCCTCTTCATGTCTAGAGTCACTCGTTATCCTTCATATCGTTATAATATTCACTTCTTTCTCTCTCTTTGTACGCGATTACAACAGACCTATTTAGTAATCCGCTTCGCTGAGTGTCATCTGGAACTTGTATTGGATGAAGAATATTTTTTTTTTAAAAGACAGATTGATGAAAGGGAGAAATGGCAAAGACTCAAACGTAACTGAGGAAAAGGAAGACCTAAGATCATTTTCATCACATAGAAAAAGTGTTTTGATCCTCACGGGGGATTCTTTCTACAGTAATAAATAGCGAGATTTTATTAAATAATTAATGATAAATTCTTTGGGTTGGTGAAAAAAGTATGTTTCCCAGACAAATTTTTAATGTAGTGATATTGATTCTCACTGGGTGGCCTACTACTGTGGCCATAACTAGAAGATAACCATACTAAATGATAAACAGAACAAGAAGCAACAGGAATATTTACAAAAAAAGGAATGAGATTTAATTGGCAAGAAAAGCGAAGAGTGTAAACAAAACAGATTTAATCTGGTCACTGGGGCTTAGAATACACCATCTGTATCTACTGCAGGTGGGTAACCCCACCATCCTATTCGTGAACTGGATCAACTCACGAGTGAATATTTGCTGACTCAAGACCATGGATACATTTTGAGTAAAGGATAAACAGACTTCATAGTTTGACATAAGTAGAACATGTTTTGATATTTAGCAACTCAACAATGGTTGATATCTCGTTAAATTAATCAACCCAACCCCAAAAAATTAAAAAAAAACAGGTTGAATGGACGAAAAAGTAGTAGAAAATGTAACGTGTACATGTATCAATATTTTCATGGGCTAATAATAATAAAAAAAACTATTTTAATAGCTAAATCGCAAAGGCTATGTCAGATCATAATTCAGGGTATTATTATGGTTCTGGTTACGAATACTGTCGAAAGTTCAAAAATAAATTTATAACTAAATTTATTAATAATTAAAGAAAACAAAATACTAAACGAAGGAAGAAAACAAATAAAAAAAGCTGTTAATAATTTGGAAAAAAGAACCGAAAAAGATAATTCCCACAAAAAAAGTAAAAAAATTCCAACAAAGTAGGAAAATAAACGAATCAGTAAATAAATTTAACGTCAGAAATAAATATATTGGAGAAGTTTGAAACGAACAGCGGAGAATGTTTAACAAACAGAAAGAAAAAATGGAGGATAGATAGAGGAAAACAAAAATGTAAGGTAGATCGAGGAAACAAATATACCGTGTGTAAATAAGGATGGAAATATATGAAAGGAAATTCTTCTGTCCAAAATATAAAAAAAGAATAAATTTAGAGAGAAACAAATCAAGTAAGATTAAATAAAAGTCTAAATGTCGATCAAAAAAGAAGAGAAAATACGAAATAAAATAAAATGGAGGAAAACGTAAAAGAAAAAATAAATAAAAAGTGAATGAAAAGAAAAATAAGAAAAATAAGAAAGAAAGAAAGAAAGAAAGAACGACTGTCATGAACGAGACAAAAAATAAAATGTCCTAGTAGAAAACCTAGCAATTCATTCAATATAATCGTTACACTTTATGTAAGTGGAGAAAATGAAACCAAGAAGCATCAAGGAGTTACTCTCCTGGAGTGAATCCATCATTAAAAAAAATGTTAAATAGATAAATTATCAACATTTTAAATAACTGATTGTCTGTATCAATTTAAGCAAATTTAGTTTAGGTAATAAGGAAGCTTAATATAGGATAGGTTGCGTCAGGTGTAAAAAATGTAAGATAGATTTTGAAATAAAGAATGAGGAAGCAAATATACCGTGTGTAAATAAGGACGGAAATATATGAAATGAAATGCTTCCATCCAAAATATAAAAAAGAATAAATTTAGGGAAATACAAATTAAGTTTGAAAAAACAAAAGTCGATCAGAAAATAAGAGAAAATTTGAAAAGTAATAAGATGACAAAATGGACGAAAACGTAAGAGAAAAAATAAATAAAATGATAGAAAGAAAGAAAGAAAGAAAGAAAGAAAGAAAGAAGGAAAGAAAGAAAGAAATAGATTTTTGTATTTCTCGGAATGATTAGAACGTGTCATCAGAATAGAAAAAGAAAAAAAAGCGCAAAAACATCTTCGTAATGAGAGAAGAGCAGGACTCAGTTGATTGACTGAGATTTCAAATAAGCAAAAGAGAATGGTTGAAAGTAGAAAAGATTAAATCCCAGAAAAAAAAAGGAAAGAAGAAAATCAAAAACCAACAAGTTGAATATTTATTTAGTTCTCTGATTGCTATTTTTTGTTCTTTTTCCCCAGTTCTTTCCGTATTTCTATTTTCGTTGTTCTACTTCGTCAATTTCCAACATTGTCGTTGTAGACATCGAATGATTTACAATTATTGCTTTTTACTAAAACTGGTCGGTGAAGAAAGCAGCTGGGCTTGAATAAACCAAGTGGTAGCAATTAACATTCCGCTGGGCTTGCACGACCCGAAAAGACGAGGCGAAAGGAATGGAGACAAGAATAATGGTGGTGGCGGCGGTGGTGTAGTTTTTTGTATGCAATGAAACGTAGAGAAAGACAGAGAAAATAAGAAAACAGCTTAAAAAGAAAGAAATAACCTATTTATGTACTTAACCATTACTCGTAATTTTGTATAGTACAGATTTTCACCCAATATTGAGTTGCCTTTTTCCTATCTAATGATAGAAAACAGCGTTCTTCTTTTCCCTCTAGAGGCAAGTATGCCGATAATGATGGGGGCTCTGATGATGACATAGGTATTAACAGTTGGTATAAAAGTGATCTGGAACAAAAGATGAACATTTTAAAAAAAGTGTTCCAAGAATTAGGTCTTCAGATAAATGTTTTCAAAACAGAAACTGAGATCTGGAATTGTATGTTGCCACATTTATTTTAATCATTTTAAAGCAAGGCAATAAAGTCACTAAGATGTAAGAGTTTACCGAGTTTGAGAAATATGAGAAAAGAAACATTATTAAGGAGAGAGGACAATAAAAAAAACATGAATTAAGAAGAAAGTAGATAACGATTAACATTGCATTTAAATTTTTGAAGATCAACCTTGACTGGAAAGCAAGAAGATGGAAAAGAATTTCACAAACGAAAAATGCAAGTGAAGAAACTGTTAGCATAGAACTTACGGTTAAATGTAGCCATTTTAACAGTAAAATGATGAATTTTTGCTGCTAATCTATTAGTACGTGTAAATTCATAAAGTTTATGCACCAAAGAGGAAATCTCATAAAAAAAATTACCATGAAAATATTTATAGAAAAGGCACAAGGAAGCTATGCTATGGTGGTGGGAAAGTGACTGAAGCCGAGATGCCAGGTCAGGACAAATAACTTTGCAGATTCTTCTTTTTAAGAAAAAAATCATGATATAACCAAAGCTTTATGCGCCCCTAAAGGGAAAATGTTAGGAAGGAAACACACAGCAATACTAGAAAGAGAAATAAGACTTCGGTGATTCGAGAAGGTCCGTTTCAGGCAAACATTGTTTATAAAAAGATTCTTTAAATTTCAGTCGGCATTAACATTAGAAGGACTTGTATCAGTATCATTATTATCGCCAAACAATTCTTGCAAACTAAAAAATATCTTCTGGGTTAAAATAAAAAAAAGGTTGATAAACAGTAAAAATCTGATCAATCAATCAATCTTTGTCTTCATCGATAAAGAAATTATTCAGCATTTACTGCTGATATGGAAAAAATGATATATGATATAGAAATTCTTTTCGGTGCTACATTTGGTATCTACAAGGAAAATAATACCTACACTGTATATAATTTTAATTTGGAATGATATCGTCATAGTAAAACGCGATATATATATATATATATATATATATATATATATATATATATATATATATATATATATAAAAAGTAAATCTGGCCATTCTGCCCTGACGATCCGCGTAGGTGGAACCTAGGTAGGTTAGTCTGGCTCTTTAGGTTTTTTATTTACTTATTTTGCGCTACTTCATGTATTGAGCACTTTATTTAGTTATTTTACTTTTTTACTCGTGTCGGAGGTTTTTTTTTCCTTTTTTTTCTGAACTTAGATTCTAGACGATTATTTTCGCCGGAGGTACATGTTCTTAGTTCTTTCTTTTTTACCTTTTTTTCCCCTTGGGTATGAGTTTGTTCATTCACAATTTAAAACACCTAAGGTTTTACGGTCGAGTATAGCTGCTTAAATTTATATGTTTATTATAAGTGTTATATATATATATATATATATATATATATATATATATATATATATATATATATATATATGAAGAAATATATTCTTAAGATGTGCTATATTTATGGGATAAAGTGCTCAATATCTGACATAGAGCATGTGTAAATATAAAAATAAACATAGAATTCAAAACTTAGAGGGGACAGTCTGTTTCATGCTAGATGCAATCGTCAGGCAGCGAGTGCTGTTATTTTTCTCCTTAAAAAATAACAGCACTCGTGGCTTGACAATTGCATCTAGCATGAGACAGACTGTCCCCTAAATATTGACTTGTATGTTCACTTTTATATATATATATATATATATATATATATATATATATATATATATATATATTCATCAATCATTCATACAAAAAACAAATATTGAGGTTAATGATTTAAATGGCGAGAATACATCTTCGCAAACAATGTAAATAAGATACACCCACCCCGAACCTGTATATGAATGATATGATCCCTGTTTATAAATTCCAGTTGCATAAGGTCCAAAACAATAACACAAAATCATTAACCTCTATATTTGTTTTTTGTATGAATGATTCATGAATTTATAAATTATAATTGCACTTTAATTGAAATTAAAATAACTGATCCCACGTGCGACTTTCGGATAATAAGTGTGACATTACTGTAATTATTGAACAATATAGTTCATGCCGCATTGACGGAAAATCTACCAGTAAAAAAGAATTCTCTTTTGTACAAAAACGCACAACCTTAAAATTTAAATTCAAACTCAGCGTTGCGACCGCACGTTCCAAAGCAATAACACATTTCTCAAAGCATTTTTTCGGATTACATCTCTATTTTCGTTGTCCTCTTATTACCGAGAAGTAAAAACAAGAACAAAATCTACTTCCATACCTGAGAATGTCTAGGAACAGACGAAAGCTTGTAAAAACTTAAAAAGCCCTTATGCAACTGGAATTTATAAACAGGGATCATATCATTCATATACAGGTTCGGAGTTGATGTATCTTATTTATATTGTTTGCGAAGATGTATTCTCGCCATTTAAATCATTAACCTCTATATTTGTTTTTTGTATGAATAATTCATGAATTTATAAATTATAATTGCACCTTTTATTTAAATATATATATATATATATATATATATATATATATATATATATATATATATATATATATATATATATATATATAGGAGAGAGAGAGAGAAAAGTGTAATTAAAATATCTAAAATCTCTATTAAAAAATATTTTAGCGATAAACAACACGTACATCAGTTAAAATACTAAATAGATTTTCTTGTAGATAAAGTCGAGATCGCATCCCAAAGTAGGTTCATGACACGCAGATAACAAGTCAATATAGCGCCTCTTTTCTTTGTTTTTGCGATATTTTTCTGTCTTATTGTTTTGCCAAAATTCTGAAAGATATCATTCGCTTTTCCTATATAAGTTTTATATAGTCACTGTTTGTATCTATACTATGCAGTTAGTTTAAATCTTTGTACCTGTTTGAATTTGTCGCTCTTAATATGTAACGCAAATCTCGGATTGTCTCTTTTGCTAATATCAATGTATACTGACTTCTTTCAATTAATACTTTGTCCATACATTCCATTATGACTTTGATTTGGTTCCTATCATTTCTGAGTTCTCTCTCAATACTTCAATGACGAAACTTTTGTTGTTAAGATTATATCTGCCGATGAGTTAATTTTCGCTACTTTTTTGGTATTTAAGTTTCTATACTGTTCTCTCGATTCATTAATATTGAAAGAAATACCAGCACATTCATGTAGGCATATGATTATAAATTTCTTCTGGTAATGTTAATACAATTATCAAACAATATATACTAACATTTTGTCAGTAAAGGAAGCGGGCGTAAGAACAATATTCTATTGTATTTTGGAGGAGAGGTTTTACGTAATTTCTAAAATTAAGCATTCATATTCATGTCAGCAGTGTTGTCAATATACAGTTGAGAGAGATAAATTGTCGCCTAAATTACACAAAAATAAAAATAACACTAACATTTCATTTTAACAGATATATTTGCCAAAATCACAGAATAATATCTTGAAAGATTAAAGAGTAAAATTATTCAATAAAATCTCCATTGGCTTCAACCATGGATTCAAGACGACTTCGGCCTCCTTTTTTTAAGTTGGTGAATGCTGTCATAATCCTTCATCTTTAGCATTACAATGAGTTTTGTTGGTCTTTCGCTCAACTGCAACCCACATATACTAATCAAGGAGGTTGCAGTCTCGGGAGTTAGATGACCAGATGTAAGGGCAGATGTGGTCGCAGGAATTGTATGAAAGCCATGACTGGTTACTCCTGCTTGCGTGGCATGGTGGATAGTTCTGTTGCCTAACTTATGGTCCTCCAGAAGCTACCCTCTTGACCAAGGACGGCACATGATGTAGGCTTCCGTGTAGTCTCTGAGGCCCTGTGGAAAGACGAATGGAGACATAACGTCGTAATCACTAGTGATCACTTCAAACACCATGACGGTGACTGGATAAAACATCGAACTCTTTCGAAATCCTCTGCACTGTCCTCAGGTTGATAGCTAAATATTCTGAAGTGTTGGAGCGTCCTGGGCGAATGTTAAGCGGGACAGCATGACCATTCCAAATTTCAGGCAGCGTTAATTGCATCATGGTGCTCTTTTTCTCGACGACGGTGTTCAACTGATCCTAATATACCATGCAGTCGACAAAATCAAAAATAACAACGCACAAGCGCGAAATTAAAGATATAAAATCGTCACAAATTACTCATTATACACTGTAGTATTTTCCTATATGGAAATATATCCATATTTTTGTCTAAAAAAGCAAAGAAAAAAGAATAAATGAAACTGAAAATGGGGAAAAGAAAATTAGAAGAAAAGAAAAAACAACGAAAACAAAAATAATGTTGAAAAGACATGATAAAAGGAACAAAAATAATGGTTTGGTTTCTCGGTAGATTTTACCATATATCAACACTTGATGGGTTATTTAATGTCAATATCAGCATTTTTATTAATATATTTGTGTCTCTAAGCTTTTACTTACTGGAGGAAGAGGTTAATATTGGTCGTTTACATCTTAGTCTAAAAGAATTTACTTGGTAGGTGGCCTCTTCTGGAGGGTCTTCAGTTTTGCAGAGAATGCAGTCAAAAGGACGAATTTACAGTTTCAAGGAAGAGAAGAGTGACAAGAAAAAAGAACATAAAAATTATATGACACTAATATGCATAAAAAAGAAAAGAATGAAAATAAACAAACGATAAAATGCGAGAAGAAAAGTCGAGATAGAAAAAGAAACGAATATAACTTTCATCTGAAAAAGAAACGAATAAGAAAATTAATCAAATAAAAAAGATGAGTAAAAATGTGAAGAGGAGGGAGGAATGAAGAAAAATATATGAAAAAAAAACATGAAAAAAGAAAGAAGCGGACCAAAAAGAAAGGATAAAAGGCTAAAAGAAAAAGAAGAATGATATAAAATTAAAATATACGTAAAAGAGGAAGAAGATTACGGCAACTCCCACCCCCACCCCAACAAAAAAACAACAACAATAACCAAATAATTCGGCAAAAAAGAATACAAAGAGAAATCTGAAAATGAAGGTGAAGAAAAGAAATAATAATGAATGAGTATTAAATAAAAGTGTTAGAAAATGAAGAGAGAATAGTCGTAATGGGATAATTAGTTACAATCCTTACAAAGGCACATCAGTTGAACTGGTAAATTATGAAATTTTTGAATATATATGTATATAATAAATGCGAATGTCAGTGTGTCACTATGTAACACTGTTTCAACTTTACTCCCAGAGGCCGTAGCTCAACATATCATACTATTTTAGAATCAGGCCGACTCTGTGAGCAAATTAAAAACATTCCGGGACAGACCTAGATCTGCAATCCTGAAATTTTGGATTCCCAAGTTTTAATTATTGCGTTTGTTCTCGACGATTTTGTACGTGATTTTTGGCTACGAATATTTTGTATGATAACAATTTTTATAATTTGGAAATAAATTTGCGATAATCGAAATTAATTGCATAATAATTGTTTGTAGGGAAAATAAGAACCTGTGTACATCAAATTGTTTTTTAAATTAAGTGACGGCAGAAAAATTATCGTTGGGCTTTTAAAAGGTAAGATTAAATATTAAAGCAATACTTAAATGCTGTGATCAATTTTGAGTTTTCTGTTGGTTATTGTTTCCTATCGCATCTACTCCTCTCTGCCTACTTTGATGAAGGTCAAATCAAGTGTCCTCCGATGGAATTAGCTTAAATTCCGCCAAATCGAGCGGCTTTTAATCTAATTTAAAATATTTATAAAAAAGAGAAGTAATATCATTGATGCTTCGATGGGAACCCAGTAACAGTGAATAAGTTATAAATATAATAATATAAGTTATGTATATAATAATAAATATAAATAATAAATAAATATAAATAAGTTATAAATATAACAATAATAAAATATTAAAATAAAAAATATTCGTCTTCAAGTGAAGACAAGCTCTATGAAACTGTTTTTCACACGAGACCTGATAAAAGAATATATCAATTTAAAATGTAGCGTTTCAAGTATACCAGTATCTAGCTAAAATAAACTGTGAGTAATACAGACAACATTTATTTCTTGATAATGACAAAGACAGACAAAATATTAAAACAAATCAAAAATAAAACATGATGTCTCGAAAATTTATTCATCAATTTGACCAGAATATGCAGCAAGTCGAAAATTATGAAGAAAGCCATGTGGAATGTAAGTCTTTTTGTTAGCATCGTCGTCGTAAAACCAACGTATGTAATGACATTTTTATCAGCGATACAATCTCCTAAAGGACACTTCAATTCAAATAAAATGTTGGCCTTTTACAAGATGCTAGTTGGCGGAGAAGAGTTAAAAATAATAGGAGACACTGAACCAGGATATACGTATGAAACTGTAAATTGCACAAACCTAACTTCCCTCGCCGACCAATCATATCCCAAATACTTACCCCTGTTTACGATCTAACCAAAGTTGTTAATCGACTAATTACACATTGCATTCCAAATAAATACAGCATAAAATCAACACACTAACTACACCAAATTCTAAAAAAAAAAAGCAAGAATGAATCTTCAGCCTCGGTTGACGTTGAAAACTTATTTACCAATGTCCCAGTCAGGGAAATAATAGATATAATCGTAATATCTACAACAGTCCATCTCTCCCTCGATTAAAAATTCGACTCACTATTTAAAATAATCTACACTTGATTTAGACCGCAGAAGTTCGTTTTTATGACCACAAAAATAACATATACGTACAATGTAATGGTATCTCTATGGGTTCCATCGTTGGGCCAAAATTTAGCAAATTTTACATGACTAATTTATAACGTAATGTACTCAATACTACAAAGAAAACATTCATTTACTTAAGATATGTAGATGGCATTCTTATTTTAGTCAAAGACATAGATGAAATACACGAACTACAAAAAAACTTTATAAAAAGACTCTATACCTAAGTTTACATATAAAGGACAAAAAATCCCCTTCGATGTATTTATAGACATTACGGATAATAATACATTTACTACCTCTCTTTACATAAAAAAAAAATAGTACTCTCAAATACAAAAGTAAATGTCCTATTAAAATGTAGCTATTATACGAAACATAAACCGTGCAAAATCAAATTCTCCAACAAAAAAGATTTTCTACACTGAATTAAACAATATTAAACACACCTTCATTAATAGTGACTTTCCTAATTACAATGTTGATGAAAAATTTACAAGCTATTAGAAATATTAACGTAAATAAAAAGAATACATCAAGTAACTGCAAACATCAAATTACTATGACGTAATCAAATGCATTCCAACTATAAAGAGGAGGAAGAAAATATAAAAACTCACAACCAGTAATATGTCTCCCACTGATCCAAGTAAAAAAATAAAATTAATCATATACTATACAAAATTCAATGCAACCAACCTAGTTGTCCAAAACAACTCTTCTCCACCAACTAGTATCTTGAATTCCAACATTTTTTATCAATTTAAATGTCCTTTAGGAGATAGAGTCTCTGATAAAAAATATGTACGTTGGATTTACTACGACGACGCTAACAAAAAGACTTAAATTTCATTTGGTTGAACATAGCTCAATACATCATCACTTGAAGAAAAACTCATGCCCACACAGATTAAACGGATATTCGTTGAAAATACATCTATATTACATAAAAATAAGAAGCAAAAAAAAAATCTTTGAAGCCCTTTATATAAGTTAGTTAGAGCCCAAAATAAAGTCAACGATGAATATAGCAACAAATTCCTTGAATGCTTATGAAAAAATATTATATATACATGAACAAAACAAAAAAGCTACTACACTTTCACAGAAAAAACAAAAGAATACGTAAACTTTGAAACCTTGAATGCTGTATAAGCATAAAGCAACGAACATTTAAAATCTTTTAAATTCACAAAAACACATATACATAGTCACAGACAACTTACCTCTCTGAAGATGGTCTCAGATGAGATTGAAAGTACTTGGGAAAATACAAAAATATTCGAAAGACAATTTTCGTATTTTTCTTACTGAATTTTCTAAATCTGCTTAAACATTAATCCGTGAACTTCAAAGGATCACAGCGAAAACTAATTGACATGATATTTCTAAATTATTTAACCAAACCTGTTTGAATGAAAATATACTGCCTAAATATACACAAACTCAAATTTCAAGCGTGCAGGGATGTATGTATGTATGTATGTATGTATGTATATATATTTTATATATATATTTATATGTATGTATGGTTACTTGATATGTGTGTGTAATATTTTTATTGTATATATGTAAGGATATATATATATATATATATATTACTGGATATAAATCCGACAGAATGAAGAAATTTTGAAAAACAAACAAAATATGTGTATGAGTGCAAAATACAATTTATATTTTTACGTCTAAAATGATCAAAGCGTAAAATGTGTATGGATAATAAAATGAATATATATATATATATATATATTTGATATATATATATATATATATTTTATATATAAATATATGACCTGTGTGTGTGTGTGTAACATGTGTCTGCGGTATTTAATAAACTACTTTAGTTGTACATAAAGTCTATATTTTTAATTTTAGATTCCGTGAAAGTTCGGTCAAATATTTTTGGTGTATTATGTGTCTCACGTATGAATAATTAGACCTGGTTTCAATATGTGTTTATGTGTGATTGATGTGAAAATAAAATTTTGGAACCTAAAAGGATTTTTTTCTTTTTCTGGATTAAATATTTTTAACTGTAATGTTTATGATAAATTTGTAATCTGTATATAAATTATATGCTTTTCAAATTGTTCTTGATTACACATCATTTTTTGTTATAAATGCACCTGCTTTCGTTAGTAGGTATGTTTTTATATGCTTTTTTATTGTTCAAAATAAACACATTAAATATTTTAATGTTTATGATAAATTTGTAAACCAGAAAATTACAGATTTTCAAATATTACATCATCATTTTTATAAATGCACCTGCTTTCGTTAGGCTTTTCTTTTAAATTTGGATCAAATAACCATTTTCAAATTGTCTCTAATTTTAAATTTGGATCGTATAACCATTTATTGTCTCTAATATCAACACAAATGTATCCACACTTTTTTGGTGTCTGTTTTTTTTTTAATCTTAAGTCAACGAATCGGTAGTGATTTATGCGTCTGATAATAATTCATATTTATCTGTATCTCACTCATTTAAACCGTTATTATAAATTCTTTCTTTTTTAAATTTCTTTCCCACCTCACATTAAGGCTTTTTTTTCTATTTTCTTTCCTTCCGTCAAACTTTCACACATTTTCCTCTTTCCCACACTACACTATCGCTGAAAGATTGCTTTTCCCGGCGTTTTCTTTCTTCCGTCACCCCTCCCTCTGGAACTTTCACACATTTTCCTCTCATTCCCACACGTACACTATCGCTGAAAGATTGTTTTTTATACCCGGCGTATTTATTTTCCGATTTCTTTTTGAAGTTGTAGGTCTGATCAATTGGACCGTGATTACGATTCCAATATAATAAATTATAATCATTGAACATTAGTGTTTGATCCTTTTATAATATATTCTTGCTTTGTCTTGTACATTGAGCTCTACCTGGACTCTCTCCATTTGAATATATATATATATATTTATATATATATATATATATATATATATATATATATATATATATTGTTATAGATTAGCGATCGTTTGTTTGGTTTTCACGCTTTAGCGATCGTCACCCAGGGTGACGATCGCTAAAACATCTATCCAACCAAATATGTTAGCTCTATCTCTGATATTGAGCGCTTTCTAATAAGTACCGTGCATATAATATATAAATAATTATACATATATATATATTTATTTATATTTATATACACTTT